GATAAATATGTAAAAGAAAGTGTACAAATGTAGCAAAATTGATAAATCTAGGTGAAGGTAATATGGTCATTTATTATTATATTCAATAAAAACAAATCTGGATTTAGGTAAGGAGCAGCTTTATTTAAAAAAAAAAAACTATTACAGACCCTCTGACCACAGAAATCTTCAAATGTCTAAAAATCAAATTTTAAAAAAAGAGTTAAAAAAAAAAGGTGTAAACAGGGCTAGCAGGACGTTTGTATGGGAACAGGGCAAGGGGGGTAGGATGAGCAGGTGGCATGATCAGGGCACTTTAACTGGAGATATGATTTTCCCTCCTGTGGTTGGCTAGTTCTCAGAATAAACTGTTAAGTGGGAGATGTTCTGCTTTTTAGAGCTTGCTCAAGTTTTGGGGCCAGCTGAAGTTCAGGGACCTGTGGGGAGAAGAGAAGCCTTATTACACTTTAGTTAAGGTAAGCCAATGGGTAAGTCATAAGTGATTACGAACACTCTTGTAACTCTTCCAAAACTCTGAAATGTTTCAAAATAAGATTTTTAAAGTTTAAAAGTTAGTACTCAGATACAGTTTTGAAGTGAATTTTTGTTCTCCCAAAACTTCATGATATCCTACTAACTGTGGATTGTCCCTCTTCCCAACATGTAGGTTTTGATCCTGACTTTACAAGCTAAGAGGCTGTAGATTTAGTCTGTGGGCTCCCAATTCTACCTTCACCAGAAAGAATACAGGCTTTAAAAAAACCTGCCACCATGTTTAAAGTTCCTAACATTTTCCAAGGCAAAAGAAAATATTTTGGATTTTAATTCCATCAAGCAGATTTTAATAAATCGCCTGGGGCTAACCAAACAGATCAAGATTCAGAGGAATTGAATTGAAAAGCAGTATTTCTGTGCCTGGCTTACGTCATTTAACATAACGTCCCCCATGTTCATCCATGTTGTGACAAATTGCAGGATTTCCTTCTTTGTGAAGGGTGAAGAATATTCCATTATGTACATATACTACATTTTCTTTAATCACTTACCCACTGATGGGCACTTAGGCTGATTCTATATCTCAGCTATTGTGACTAATGTTGCAATGCATGGGAGTGCTGATATCTCTTCAACATACTGATTTCATTTCCTTTGAAAATATCCCTGGTAGTGGGATTGCTAGATTCTATGGTAGATCTATTTTTAATTTTTTGAGGTCCTTCTATATTGTTTTTCATAAGGGTGTTACCTCATTTATATGTGGAATCTTAAAAAGTTGGTCTCATAGAACTAGAGAGTAGAATGGTGGTTGCTAGGGGCTGGGATGAGGAAGGAAAAGTTGGAGAGCCAAAAGGATACAAAATTTCAGTTAGGAGAAGTAAGTCCAAAAGATCTATTGCTCAACATGGTGGCTATAGTTAATAACAACATACTGTATTCTTTAAAAATGCCCAAGACATGGATGTTAAGTATTCTCACCACAAAAATAATAACTATGTGAGGTAATATATATGTTAATTAGCTGAATTTAGTCATTCTACAATATAAATATGCTATAAAATATCATGTTATATATGATTAATATAATTTTCTCTATCAATTAAACATAAACTAACAAAAAAGAATATAAAAAAAGAAAAGCAGCATTGCTTATACTTCACCTCATAAGAATTTTTTTTTTTTGAGACAGATACTGACTCTGTCACCCAGGCTGGAGTGCAGTGGTACAGTCATAGCTCACTGTAACCTCAAGTTCCTAACCTCAAGCAATGTTTCCTCCTCAAGTAACTGGGACTACAGGCTTTGTCACCATACTTTATTTATTTATTTATTTATTTATGTAGAGACAAGGGTCTTGCTATGTTATCCAGGCTGGTCTCAAAGTCCTGGCCTCAAGTGATCTTCCTGCCTCAGCCTCCTAACGTACTAGGATCGCACACTTTAGCCACCACACCCAGCCAAGAATGTATTTTTTTAACTTACAATTTTTTTAATGAATTATTTTGAAATTGATTGTATTAAGACTTCCTAGGATGTGAGAAGCTTCTGCATAATTTGTGAATCACTAAATAAATATTTCCTTTTAAAAAAACTACCCCAATAGCCTTTTTGATGATGCAAAGTAATATTAGTGGGTGGGTAGTATACTCTATTTTTTTTCTATCCAAATTGCTGAAGGCTATTCTCTGTTTATATATGTTGACCAAGAATAAACATCTTTTTTAATGTATTCAAGACTCATAGTCAGAACATAAAGAATAGAAATTAATAGAAAAAGGTAAACAATGCAATGTTAAAAACAGGCAAGAGAACTGAACAAAAGCTTTCCAAAAAAGGATATTCCAATGACTACAAATATATTAAATAGTGCCCTACTTCATCAGTAATTAATGAGAAATGCAAATTAATCAATTACATATGAACACAGTCACTCACCAGAATGGTCAAAATTTTAAAAGACTAGTAATTCTAAGTGTTGGAAATAATTCGAACAACTGGAAGTTGCACTGCTGATGAGAATGTAAATCAGTACAATTTCTTTTTTTTTTTTCTTGAGATGGAGTCTCACTCTGTGGCTCAGGCTGGAGTGCAATGGCGTGACCTCCGCTCACTGCAACCTCCACCTCCCAGGTTCAAGCGATTCTCCTGCCTTAGCCTCCTGAGTAGCTGGGATTACAGGCACGCACAACGATGCCTGGCTAATTTTTGTATTTTCAGTAGAGACAGGGTTTCACCATGTTGGTCAGGCTCGTTTTGAACTCCTGACCTCGTGATTGGCCACCTCAGCCTCCCAAAGTGTTGGGATTACAGGCGTAAGCCACTACGCCTGGCCAGTACAACTTCTGAGAAAGCAGTTTGGTGACATCATGTAAAGCTGAAAAGAGCATACCCTATGATATCAATGCTACTTATATATACTTCTAATATATACTCCCCACAAAAAATATGTGTATACGTGTGCACAAAGTGACATGTACAATGATATGCTATGAGCAGTAGAATAATAAAATAGGTAAATGAATTTTGCTGCATTCATACTGAAAAAGACAAAAGCAGTCCATAGGAGCTGGCCTGACACTCAACAGCTAGGCCATAGTGATCTTCTGTTGAACTAAAAATGATTTCATAGGACACCAGTATCAGAGAAGGCCACACTATGACTATGATGGAGCAAGAGGGAAACGAGAGCACATCATAAGTGTGTCTAAATACAGACAAAAAGGAGTATTGTCCAATCCACAAAAATGCCCAAACATCTTTCTGTCCTGGCTAATATTAGTCACTACAGCTTATTTACCAATGACAGCGTTAGTCTCACCCCATTCCTCTCACCTTCTACTAAGAATTATCAATATACTCATCATAGAATTAACTCCACTTATAATGGCATCCAATTCAGAGCACCCTGCTTCAAACCTCCCCCAAATCACCTAACACAAGACAAAATGTATGTTCTTTCTAACACCTTTTCACTGAGATGCTCCATGATTCTCTATGGTGTGCAGCTTCCTTTGTTACAATAAGTCAGTAAACATAACTTTGTTCAACTACAGGTGTGTTTCTGATGGTCTCTAGCTAAAGGTCATTGACAATATATTGGAATTTTATATGGCAATGGAAATAAATGAACTAGAGCTAAAGATAACACCAATCTTACATTGAGCTAAAAAATGAGAGAAACAAAATTCAAAGGATTACCTACTGTACACTTTACTTGATATATAGTTTTGTTTTATTTTATTTCCACTCATACTCAAGTAAGATATACAGTTTTCAAAAGAGGCAAAACTAAATTGTTTTAAGGATGCACACTTAAGCCAGGTGTTAAAAATCTGACAGAGATTGAAAGATTCATTAACTCCCTCATGTCAGGATGTAATCAGTGTTCTGTACACTTTCTATTTTCATTCCTTCTTTTTTCCTATTGGAAAATATAGTTTAGATTTCTCTTAAGTGGCCATAATTGTATAGCACCTGGGACATAAAATATTGAGCACAAATGAGGAATCAAATGTTTTCGGTAATGAGCACGAGACAGCAGCAGAAGACAAGTTCTAGTTCTTACATTGCCATGAGTAGCTGTATGAATTGGGCAAGTGACTTCGTCACTTTGGGCCTTAGTTTCTTCATCTTTTTTTTTTTTTTAAAGTGGAGGATGGGTGAGAAGGAGACTGGATCTCATCTTTCTGAAATGTCTTATTATTCTTAAATATTCTATTATCCTATGATCATAAAGGAAGCTCTCAACAAATATCTCCTATATTTCTAGTAGGCCATTTTCAATATGTGTAAGCAATCATTTTATTTGCTTTAAAATCCAAAACCAAATATTTATCTTCATTTGATTTATTCATTATATTATCTGGGAAGCAGAGCAGTGTACTGATTAAGAGCATAGACTTGGGAGTCAGACAAAATTAAACTGAATTTTATTTCTAACATTTGCTAGGTAGGGGACATTGACATAACCTCTCCCATCTCACTTTCTTTGTCTTTTTTTTTTTTTTTAAATATCTACTTCATATAGTTGTTGAAGTATTAAATAACGCATGTAAATAATTTGTCATAGTTTTAGTACATGGAAATCATATCCAATAGATACTACTGCCATTATAATCATAAGTGACAAGCCAGCTGCTCCCTTTGTGCACGTGTATACAGATATTTTTTTGCGGGGGAGCATATACGTAGGAGTAGCATGATAGCGTAGCGCAAATCAAGAGGCCAGTTGGCTTAGTCCCCTGTAAGTGTACCTACTGGACCTCAAGTTTCTGAAGGAGAATGTCTGTTTGTTCCCTTTCCTTTTCCTACTGACCACTTCCTCCACATTCTCCAGCTCCCTGCCTCATATATTTGGCTTGGGCTTCAGAAGACCCTGCAGGATCCTTGTGCTTCTTTCTTCGTCTCTGGATGGACTGCAGAGTGTGCAGATGTAGCTTAAACTTGTTGCTGTTCGCCCACTGCTTCAGTGGCTCCAGAAAGCGAGCAGATAGAATGACTTCAGCTTGAACGACTAATCTCATTGGCTTCTCAATTCCCAAGGACTTTTTTTTTTTTCCTGAAAGGGAATTAACAGATGAGTCTGTGGTTGCTTTGGCAACAAACTTTCAACCTCTACCTAACTCTCCGGAGTGAGAACATACCTATTAATACATTGGCTAGACTGGGGAGTTGAGTCGCTCAATGCAAATTTTCTTTCAAGTGCAAAACAGCTTAATCGGCTCAGCTAGCCTTTGATGGTGCTGCGGTTAGAGGCTGGTGAAGCGGAGAGCAACTGTTGCAGTAACCTGTTGCAGAAAAGTGAAAGTATATCCGCAACAGTTGGCTTTGATTGCAGAGAGTGCGCTTGTGAGAACTGATGGCGGGTGCGCGCGGAAAATCTTTGCAAAGCAGGCAAGTGGGATCTCTTCTTATTTTTCTGTGCGTATCTGTGGGGGGTGCGACAACGATCCGCTATTCAGTGGCGGAGGAAATGGAGAGCGGTTCGTTTGTGGCCAACGTAGCTAAGGACCTACGACTGGAGGTAGGGAAGCTGGCTGCGCGCGGGGCGCGGCTGGTTTCCGAGGGCAACAAAATGCACTTCCGGCTCCACCGCAAGACAGGAGATTTGTTTGTGAAGGAGAAACTGGATCGGGAGTCACTTTGTGGCAAAGCCGACCCGTGTGTTCTGCACTTTGAAATAATCCTGGTGGAGCCGCTGCAGTCCTTCCGTGCCGAGGTCAGGGTATTTGATATCAATGACAATGCCCCGGTTTTCCTAAACAAGGAGCCGCTTTTAAAGATTCCGGAGAGCACCCCCTTGGGTTCACGTTTTCCTCTGCAGAGTGCCCAGGATCTGGACGTGGGCCTCAACGGTCTCCAAAACTACACCCTTAGTGCCAACGGCTATTTCCACCTGCACACCCGCTTCCGCAGCCACGGGCCTAAATATGCTGAGCTGGTGCTGAACAAACCCCTGGACCGAGAGGAGCAGCCTGAAGTCAACTTGACAATTACGGCGGTGGACGGCGGGTCACCGCCCAAGTCTGGCACAGCTCACATCCGCGTGGTGGTTCTGGATGTCAACGACCACGTGCCCCAGTTCTCGCGACCGGTGTACCCAGCCCAGGTATCAGAGAACAGCCCCAATGGCTCTTTGGTGGCCACGGTGACTGCCATGGACCTAGACGAGGGCACGAACAAAGCGATAACTTACTCTTTAGCTCAAAACCCAGAAGCAATTCTCAAGACATTTCAGATTGACTCTCAAACTGGAGAGGTTCGACTAAGAGGAACCCTAGATTTTGAAGACATTGAAACATACGACATTGACATTCAAGCTACAGATGGTGGAGGCCTCTCTGCCCACAGCAAAGTCCTGGTAGAAGTGGTGGATGTGAATGACAATCCTCCCGAAGTGATGGTCTCCTCTGTGTCCAGCCCACTCCCTGAAGACTCACCACCACAGACGGTAGTAGCCCTTTTCACTATCAGAGACCGGGACATTCGAGTGGGAGGAAAAGTCACCTGCTTCCTCAGAGAAGACCTTCCCTTTGTAATAAAACCTACATTCGGGAATTCTTACTCGCTGGTCACTGACAGAAGCTTGGATCGGGAGGAGGTCTCAGGCTATAATATCACCCTTGTTGCCATGGATACTGGACCACCTAGCTTATCTGCTGAGACTATGATAGAGGTGCTAATATCTGACGTTAATGACAATCCTCCAATATTTCGGGAAGATTCCTATATCTTGACTGTTCGAGAAAATAATAGTCCTGCAGTTTTTATTGGCCAAGTCCATGCTGAGGATCTTGATTTGGGTGAGAATGCCCAAATAACTTATTCTCTGTTGCCTCCAAAAAATGGAGATCTATCAGTCTTTGCTTACATATCCATAAATTCAGACAATGGAAAGCTCTATGCACTGAGAACCATGGATTATGAGGCCATTCAAGATTTTCAGTTTGTGGTAAAGGCAACTGATGGGGGCTTCCTGTCACTGAATAGCCAAGCTACTGTCAGAGTGGTTGTCCTAGATGACAATGACAATCATCCAATGATCTTGTACCCACTGCAGAATGGCACCTTGCCCTGCAATGACCTGGTGCCCAGGTCTGCAGAGGCAGGCTACCTGGTAACCAAAGTGGTGGCTGTGGATGGTGACTCAGGTCAGAATTCTTGGCTTTCATATCATCTACTTAAGGCCACTGACCTTGGGTTATTTTGTGTTCAAAGACAAAATGGAGAAATCCGTACATTACGGCAGATATCTGAGAGAGACCCCATGATGCAGAAATTGATCATTCTTGTTCAGGATCACGGCCAACCAGCTCTTTCAACTACTGTCTCACTCAACATCCTGCTGGTAGATGGCTTTTCAGAGCCCTACCTGCAGTTCCAGGATCCAACCAAGCATTCCAGAAAGGTAAATCCATCCACTAAATATTTGGTAATTTCTCTGGCCATCCTCTCCTTTCTCTTTCTCCTCTCTGTCACAGTGATCTTCATTATACATGTCTACCAAAAGATTAAATATAGAGAAAAGTTTACAATTCAAGAGCATTTCTATGATGACTGTAATTTCTCTAACAATCTGGTACAAGGACAAGGCAATGGATCCTTATCCCAGCCTTGTCCATATGAAATGTGTTCAGCCACTGGCACTGGTAATAGTGAGTTTCGCTTTCTTAAGCGCTTTATGCCCAACTTCCCTTTTCCTCATGCCACTGGGGAGATAAAAATGGAGGCTGGCTCCAGTTTGCCTCTAAATTCTGAAAGGAATAAGTCTCGGAGATCAGAGGGCCATGACCAGGTATCTGATGACTATATGTAGCTCCTATTTACAGCCTCAGTGAGAGAAGAGAAGCGGAATTTTATACTTGGTATGCAAAGATGTTTCATCCTCATTAAAACAAAAACTGGTAGTAGATTGCAGCTTTAGCGAAGATAAGAGTACTTAGTTTGGTGAAAATGGGAAACCCAGAGTGAGGCTAGGCTTACTCAATACAAAGCAGTTATCCTGATCCCCAGATCATTTATCTATAACCCTTTCTCCAGTTGGAATTCTGTTTAAAGAAATGTCACCCTCTATAAATGCACATGTGGTAGGAACTTCTGCTTTTCCATCTCTGTGCTAGCAAGTAGTGAATAAGCCATTATTCACATTTCCCCTAGAAGTTCATTGGTCCTGGCCCAGGAAATGCTTAGTTCCATAGAGAGACCCTTTTATTTGCCTCTAAATTATTTTCCAGTAGAAAGTTATGCATGCATAGGGAAGAGAACTACCTTCCCTTTTTAATATATTGGGAAGTGATTAGGTTTGACAAGCAGAGATACAGTTTATTATTCAGGAATCTCTAAATTCTTGTCCATGATGAGTGATTATCTTTGATCAATGCCTTGCCTGCAATCTTTCATAATCATAATCATGGAAATGCCTGGTAAATGGTGGTCTTCCCAAATAATCATGGTGGGAGGAAGGGTGGAGAAAGAAAAGGATTTCACTTATTTGCAAATGTGAGTAAGGGCAGAAATAAGGATAAAAAGATTCAGTTTAGGAATGTTCTCCAAAATCAAATTAGGTGTAGATTTTTTTTCTTTTTTTTTTTTTTTTTTTGAGACAGAGTTTTGCTCTTGTTGCCTAGACTGGAATGCAAAGTCACGATATCGGCTCACTGCAACCTCTGCCTCCTGGGTTCAAGTGATTCTCCTGCCTCAACCTCCTGAGTAGCTGGGATTACAGGTGTGCGCCACCATGCCCAGCTAATTTTTTGATATTTTTAGTAGAGACGAGGTTTCACCATGTTGGCCATGCTGGTCACGAACTCCTGACCTCAGGTGATCCACCCGCCTAGGCCTCCCAAAGCGCTGGGATTACAGTCGTAAACCACTGTGCCCAGCCAGATTTGATTTCTTAACGATTGTTTGGAGCCAGGCAAGTTTCAAATCTCCCTCTTTCATATCCAGATGTCTATCCTTGCAGACCCAGAGAGAATCTATTTGAAAACAGGGAAATGGAGGGTGGATGAGGATAAAAATAAAGTAGGATGGCTGGGCACAGTGGCTCACGGCTGTAATCCCAATTTTGGGAGACGGAGGCAGGCGGATCACCTGAGGTGAGGAGTTCAAGACCAGCCTGGCTAACATGGCGAAATCCTATCTCTACTAAAAATACAAAATTTAGTCGGTCATGATGGCACGTGCCTGTAATCCCAGCTACTCAGAGGCTGAGGCTGGAGAATCGCTTGAACCTTGGAGGTGGAGGTTTCAGTGAGCTGAGATTGTGCCACTGCACTCCAGCCTGGGCAACAGAGTGAGACACTGTCTCAAAAAATAAATAAATAAATAAATAAATAAGGCCTGCTGTAGTTAATAAGTATTATGGAACACTCTATTTTGTGCCATTAAGTGTACACAACATTTATTGTAAACCATTTTGTAGTTTGTAAATACAAAATAAAAAGACATTAAATGAAAAAGTTCATTAATACTAATTAAGTGGCATTAAGGAAAGAAACATTTTCACATAGTACCAGATTTGATTGTAAGCCATTTACCTCTCTGAGTATTCTGAAGTTAATACATGCAAACTGAGAAAAAGTGGCATTTTTAGTAAATCATTCATAAAATGAAATGGAGTGGGGAGACAAGTTAAGCTTCTCTTTGATCACCACTGTTTTGCCTTCATAAGCTATTCTGAGCCCTCTCATTCTAAAATAAGCCAATATTAAAACATTAACATATTTCAGGAATTCTCCCAATACTACTAACTGTGCCTTGAAAGTCAAAAGTTTGCTTTAGAGAAGGGCATGGTGGTTCATACCTGTAGTCCCAGCTACTCAGAAGTCTGAAGGAGTGAATTACTCAAGGCCAGGAGTTCAGGGGTGCAGTAAGCTATGGTTGCACTGCTGCACTCCAGCCTGGGCAATAGAGTGAAACCTCATCTCAAAAAAAAAAAAAAGTGTGTTTTAGTGAGGCTTTAATTTTGTGCCTTATTTTATACAAATTTGTGTAAATTCAGAGTCACTAGAATACATCCTCTTCCTTCCTGCACAGGAGGACACAATGTTTGTACCTGGAATTTTAAGGGTAGAGCATTATCTCTTAAAATACTTCTTAAATATACCAAATCATATTTATTAATATAAACTTCATTCTTGGACTTAATGACTGATACCTAATGGCATCACCTGGCTGTTTACCTGTTGGCCAGGAATACACTAAAATTTAGTGCTGTTATTTTTTAAACGTTGGAGATGCTCAGGGCAGAACTGGTGTAACCTATGGCTGCCTTCAATATTAAAATGTTAAAGAATAGATGAAGCAAATGCACTACATCAATGAATTGCTTTTATTTTTAATATTAAATATTTTATATACATTGAGTTATGATTCTGCTGATTTAGAGTAAAGGTCTTCTCGCACAAAACATAGAATAGTGTTCCAGTGTATGTGTGTTCCAATTGGTGAAGGCATGCTGAAATTTCTATTTCCTTTAAATGACAAAGGAGCTAGAATATTTATTTATTTATTTATTTTTTGGAGACAGAGTCTTGCTCTGTTACCCAGGCTGGAGTACAGTAGTACGATCTCGGCTCACCGCAACTTCTGTCTCCTGGGTTCAAGTGATCTTCCTGCCTCAGCCTCCCGAGTAGCTGGGACTACAGGCGTACAATGGAGCCTGCCTTCATGTCAAGGATAGGGAAAGAAAATGGTGTAGATTCATGATTTTAAGACTTTGATATTCAAATAGCAGTGAAGTTCATGAATACATACACACACACACACACACACACACACACAATGGACAGAATATGTAGATTTGCCAACTTTTTATTTTTTCACATTAAATGAAATAAAACCTACCACTTCACGCCACCATTAGTCCATAAGCGAAATGGCATTTTAATATAAAAATGGTAAGATGGGCCGGGCGCAGTGGCTCACACCTGTAATACCAGTACTTTGGGAGGCTGAGGCAGACGGATCACGAGGTCAAGAGATGGAGACCATCCTGGCCAACATGGTGAAATCCTGTCTCTACTAAAAATACAAAAATTAGCTGGGTGTGGTGGTATGCGCCTGTAGTCCCAGATACTTGGGAGGCTGAGGCAGGAGAATTGCTTGAACCCAGGAGGTGGAGGTTGCAGTGAGCTGAGATCGTGCCACTGCACTCCAGCCTGGTGACAGAGCAGGACTCCGTCTCAAAAAAATAATAAAAAAAGGTAAGATAATAATCTCATAAAAGAAACCATCCTTTAAATTTAAAAAATGTATTGATTTAATATAAAAATATTTTGCCACTATTTCTCTTATTTTTGCCTTAGGTGAAAATTTTGTCTCTCTAATCTAATTTTATTTAGACTTCAAGTTCCCAAGAAAATTCCAATCCTACCTGACAACTTAAGAATATATCAATTCACTGAATGTGAAGTAGGCCACTTGTTTTTGGAGAGAACTCTATACACTAGCTGAGATTAAATCCAGGTCTCCATCAGCAAATTAAGACAAAGAATGTAAATAATTAGGACAATTACTCTTTCCAAAGTGTCGAGTGATATTAGAACTATTTATATGTATTCAAAGCTATGACCCAAGAACTTTGAAAAGTGTCTTGTACAAAAAGGCTTTTTATTAGGAAATAATTCTAGACTTATAAAATTGCAAAAATACTATAGATAGTTCCTGTATATCCTTCACCTAACTTCCCTGAATGTTAACATCTTACATAACCATAGTAGTTATCAAAATTAAGAAATTAACCTTGGTATAATTCTATGAAGTAAACTACAGGCCTTATTCATATATAACAGTTTTCCCCCAATGTCCTTTTTCTATTTAAGGATCCAATCTAGGATCCTGCAAAGCATTTGTTTCCTTTCTCTCTACCACCTGTGACAGTTCCTTACTCTTACCTTACCTATCATGACTCGAGACTTTCGAAGAGTACTAGCCAGTTATTTGTAGAATGCCCCTCAGTTTGGGATTGTTTTCTCATTATTAAACTGAGGTTATGCATTATTGGGAAAAATACTGCAGAAATGATATTGTATCCTTTTCAGTGTATCATGTCAGCAGGTATGTGATGCCAATGTCATACTACTGGTGATATTAATCTTTTTTTCTTTTATTGTGGTAAATAACTTATAAAATGTACCATGTTAGCCATTTTTAAGTATGTTAGCCATTTTTCAGTAATGTTAAGGTCTTGCTAACTTTGATCGCTTGGTTAACATAATGTCTGCCATGTTTCTCTATTATAAAGTTACTTTTTTCTCTTTGTAATTAATAAATATTTGGGGGGTTATACTTTGAAACTATGCAAATATCATGTTTCTGCTTAAACCAATTTTAGTATCCATTGCTAGATATTTCCTGTGGCAATTAATATTGTGGCATTCTAATGGTGATTTACTATTTCTCTAATTCCTTTTACATTAATTAAAATTCTTCTGGAAGGAAAACTTGTTACTTTTCCCCCCACTTATTTAGTTAGTTATTTCTTTACATAAGGACACCTGGATATCTCCTCTATTATTTGGGTTACAAACTAATCCTATCATTTACTTTGTTGTTCAGCAAACCCTTTTATCTGAGATGAAGAACAGATTTTTAAGACTGGAATTATCCATGTAGAATACATTTTTATCAAAATTAGTATTTCTTTGTAACTCTACATGTTAGATTATTTTAAACAATCATAAAGTAAGCCCATTAAGGTTTATGCATAAAGTTTTAACTTTAAATGAAAATTATACTAGCATTTTAAATTAGTCATAAATTTTAAAATAGATATAAACTGAAAAATTTAAAATTTATTATGCAGACATGTTTATATAGTTTAAGCTATGTATACTGGAGA